GCGTGCCTTCGTGGTGTAGTGGTTCTGCACGCTGGGACGGTATTCCAGAGGTCCGTGGTTCGATTCCCGGTGAAGGCAATTACTCATTTTTCATCTCTCCGGCTTTTCCAATTAACCTAATGTCTCTACATAGTTACTGAAATAAATTTTGTTATCAGATAAACTATTACTAGGCCCTGAATGATATATATGCCTTCCAAAGCGAATCTCTGTGAAACTATAAATTGCAACATTGCAACTGTCAGATCAACACACCCATTTACGATCTCGCTTGAATACATAGAAGTGTTGTTCATCCAAGGTGGAGGATATGAGGAAACGAAACGTTTATTTCCAGCTATTCACCAAATGGTCATAGCTCACTGATAGACATTAATCATAACTGCAAACAAGTGTCCAAATTTGTTGAAAATTAGGTCTTTTCAGTGGCATCTATAAAGGAAATAAAGGAAATGCTTAAATACAGTTCAAAAGAACAGAATATCTCTTTATTCCAGAAACGCCTGTTGATGATCCACATCACATTAGGTGGTGTTGCTAATGTTCTTCGGTTTCAGTGGAATCATCATAAAGCATTCGTTTCTGAGATTTGACAAAAAAATTCTGAAACATCTATCAGTAAGAAGACGTAGAGGTTAACCGCACTACCAAAGTAAATCGTATATGACAATGCACTGGATCTTCAGTTAATATTTGGTTGTGAATTTTTGTTTTCGGATAAAACTACTGTGTTCCATCAGCCCACTCATTCGACAGACTTCTCTTTCCCTATCTATTTACAACATTTTAAATGAAACTGAGTTCGAATGGGAGCTCTTTGGATGATTCTAAGTAACTTTAAACAATTTTAGCTGTCCATTCTAACGAAGAGAATGCCCTAAATGACTTTGTTAGGTAGTTTTGTTTTTAACCTGGTCAGATAAACTATGGAGTTATGTCAGATTTTGGGATTCTGCATTTGATTTTAAAATAGTTTTCCTTTCATTATTTACATATTGAGGACATTTCTCTACATATTTCTTTCTCTCTATATTCTTCATATTGAGGAGGTATTTTAATATTTATTTCTGTTTATATGCATTAAAATCTGCATTAAATGCAGATATATAAGCTCCTGAAAAAATGTCCATATTGTGCCGAAAAATAATGAACCTGAAAAAGGGAGGGAGGGAAGCAAAAGGTCTATAAAAGTCCATGCCACATCTCATCGTTAACTTCGTATCAGGGTTCGCTGCCATACTTGTAATAATAAGGCTCCAAATACAGAGATTCACTAATGAATGATGAAGGAAAAAAGTTACTTAAGTTACCTTGAATGAGAGAAGGCATTCTTTTTTCCACTAGTTTCTTCCCCCCTTTTTTTAGTTGTTTTTAGTTTTTTTTTTTTCCTTTCTGTCTCTCTTCTGCTGTCTTACTCTGTAAGAGTGTCACTTTTCAGCGCGTTGACACGTGTTTCTACTTCCGTCGGATCAAGGATTTTGCCGTGTCTCTGATTTCGAGCGGGGGCTTTTTCTCTCTCTCCCATTTTTTTTTTCTCTTCCCATTTTCTCGGGCTCATCAGAAGAGCCAGAGGAATTTCTCTTTCGATGAAATGGGAGTAGTGGGGCGTTTCGGTGCAAGGATTCTTCTGCTGCTAGCTCGGCGGATTATCCAAGTTTCGTTTTCAGGGTCTTCTTGTTCTTTTTCCCTCCTACACCGGAGATAGGGCCTTAGCAAACGTAATGCCGCTAGAGAATTGGAAGGGAAACATATAGAAGAGAGGGATAAGCTACCCGACAGCATCGCAAATAGAAGAAGCAATACTTTCTGCTAGCGAGCCGTTAAATTTGATCAGAATGTATAGACATTCAGAAGTATCCTGAGTATTGCCCTTTTTAATTGCAAAACAACCAGCTGTATATGTTTGACTTACCATGAATGAAAACGTTTAGTTAACACGTTACCTAGTATGCTAGTTCTTTGCTGTACTATCTGTTTCTTACGTCGGCCACATCAGAATGCAAATAATATTGAGGTTAAATTTGTCGAAATGTGTATATAAAAATGTTTTGTCTTTGTTACAACATTGGTAACGAAACCAGTACTCTGTGTATAATTTGTCTTTTTAATTTCGCTACTTACCTTCTAGTTATTTGATCATTCCCATTTAATAAAGAACCAATCAAAAGGATAATCTCTGTTGTGTCTTCAGTTGAGATAAAAAAGTAAAATAAACTGCAACTGAATACTCTTGATGCCAGTGAGAAGGACTGAGGAATTTCTGTTCTCAATTCTGTACAGCCTAATCTTCACTAAGTCTTCAGAAATGATAAAACAATCAAATATTACAAAATTTATACCGCAGATTCAATTTTTTTATTCCTTTGTACAAAGTGAAAAAAGTATTGTAATCGTGAAAACGTTCCGGGGTCAAATTTCAACAAAAATATCCATTTTAACAGCTCTCGAACCCATTTGAACGATGCGTAACTTTTGTACGTACGGACAAAATAAATGACTGTTTTTTCGAAAGCGGATTGTAAAAGGGAATTTAATATAGAAGAGAATTTTTTTCGTAACTACTGTGCATACGTATGTATGTATCGTGCATAAGTCAGCGGTAGAACGCTGAAATTTCTTATATGGAACAGCTACAGCATATAGTTGTGCACCTCCCTTTTTTGTTGCAATCGACCGCACCAAGCTTCTTACTCGCCTTACCCAACTATCTGTGTTTTTATTCTTATGTGCGGATAAATCGAGCATTTTTTTTTCTTTAAAAGTGATTGAATCATGCTTGGGAAGTTTTTATGCCTTTAGTTAATCTAAATGCAATAGTTGTAGAATTATCAACAATTTAAAAGTGTAAGTGCAGCTAAGCTTATCATGGAGCAAATTCGTTTACATTAGTAGTGTAATGAATTCAGCTGGTGCAAAGACTTCAGTGTCACTCTGCTCATTGGAGAAGTTAAGAAGTTTAAACTCGGGGGCAGCGAAAATGTTGTCTTTTTGCCCATTGACCGAATTGCTTGTTTTCCGGTAGAAGCTCTAATTTTAATTTCAAAAATTGATTTTTGTAACTATTTTTAACTGTATTCGTTTTTTTTAGTATTTTTTGTATTTTACAATTTTAATGAAGTTGTTTGGAGTTTTGTGCATTTTTGCCTTGCCGCGGAGTGAGAATTTAATTGATTGAATGAGAAATAGTATAACTCTAATGAAATTAGAAAATAAAATGAAGTTTTATTTTCGAATTTAAATGAAGTGCAGCAAAAAATGCGTATAATTTAATAGGCCATACAAAGAAGTCATGTTGTATCAGCATCAGATTTTTTTTATTACCTTTAAGTAAAATTTTAATCTGGCAACCATGTTGCATAACTCTCAGATGGCCAAATATTTTCTTCTCTTTTGTTCCTCCTTTGTTCTCCCAAAAGTTACTTTAGTGAATTTTAAACAAACATATTAAGTGATTACTTAAAAATGTAAAATGAGAAATAATCGCCTTAACAATCAGTAAATCCACTTTGAGAGTACAGAATTTTTGTATACTGTTGTTATATTGGGAAGGGTGCATACTCTTTACTTAAATTTAAAGTCTAGGAGGTAGTAGTTATTGAACTTGTTTCAAAACAATTTAGAATTTTGATATTTTATGATACGTTCCATATGGTTAAGGCTTCGGCTTTCCTATTAGTATCATGTACATCCTGCACTCAAAATGCTACAGTATGAGATATTGTAAACTCAGTTTTTATCAAGTTCTTCTTTTATATCTGTAATTTTCAAAGTGCATTTAAAAAAAATGTAATGCATAAAAATCAATTTTCTGATTGTATTTTTAGACTGCTCTGCCGGTTGTGGATTTCATATGTTCAACATGATTTAAACAAATTACACAGAAGTACAGAAATAAATTATTTAACGTATCAAAAATTTACATTCTATTATAAATAGTTTAGTAACACTATCTATGAATAAATATGAAAGTCCTATTAGTATGCAGGTTGCAAACTTAATTATTCTTTGAAATAAATTTAATTATGTGCACTATAGAAGAATCTCTCGAAATATATTAACATTTTATGTCTAAATATTTCCACTCAAGAGGACTAAAGTTAAACATTAAAGCAAAGTAACTGTGTGCTTATTACACTGTAACAGGTAAGTTGTAGTTTTGCGAGATCAATATTACAGTCTCTAAGCAATAGCCTGTTGGTAGCTATAAATGCATAAATTTTGAGGGAAATAAATGATTTAATTAATTCATCCATGCATTAATTAATTATTAAATTTTCATATTTTATTTCAAATAAATTAAATATATTTTCAGTGGTAACGGCATCTTTCCATTTCCATCAAATTCGATAGGGTGAAGAATAAAACTGTACTGTAAGGCAAGAAGGCGTTTTCACAGAAATGTCAAATATGCTCCTTTAAAAATAAATAAATTATATATGTATTCTCTAATATTTTTTAAAATAGGAAATTTATTTACTGTACGAAAGAAAAGTATCAACCTCGAGATTTTGATGAAATGCACATTTTAATCATCATCAAACCGAATTAAATTATTCTTTCGAAACAGTTTGCACACATAGTTCAAAGGAAAATGTGTAAACAACACTTTCTGTTTGGAATGAACGGTAAAGACTGTGCATATTATTTCTAGCTCCAGTAAAGTAGATATATTGTATCAAATAAAGTAATACTAGCGCCACTAACGGCAAGTAAAGAAGTCACCATATTTAGCTCTTCAATGAAGCGAAACAGAAGAAAAAAGGTTAAAGTTATGCAACATTATTCACTACTGTAAAAAGATACGAAAAAATATAATAATGCTCACAAATTATTAGTTATATACTTATTCGAAAATAAGATCTCACGCCTTTTTTGGGGGGGAGGGAGCTATATTTTTGTTCTAAAATTGGTAGGATCTTATAAACAGGTATTTTGATAAATGAAATTGCAGAATGAAAGCAAAGAGTTTAATTATTACATTATATAGATTAGTTACATTGTTTAAACACTAAATAAACCACATGTGCCAATAACTGGCATGCAAGCATAGCTACCTCTAATTATCATACACGAGTCCAGCTGAGAAATTTTAGTTTAGGAATTGCATCCGCATACCGGTCATTGGTTAGACCTGAAAACAAATAAGTAATAATGGATCACTAAATTTCCTTATTCTTCTTATATCATAGTAAAATACTGAATTTAATTAAGTAGCTTACCATTCATTTTAATTAGAATTCAAATGAATTCTAAACAGAACCATGTTTTCATCAAAAATCAGGTACGTTTTTATTTTTTAAACTTAATCGTAAAATGTAAAGAGGACCTTATCCTTGGATAGGACTTATTCTCAAGTAAGTACAGTATATGAGGAAAAGTCAATAAACAGGTTATTGCTGTGGGCTAATAAGAAAGAGCCATGAATATTTTCAAAAGTTGTTATCAGGGAGCAACATTATTATACTTCGCATTCAGATTAAGCAACATCACTAATCGCTGGAGGTATGTCAGATTAAGATGAAAATGATATCTATGCTAAGGAAATGTATATGAGAAAGACTATAAGAAGTGATGAGCTTTTTTCCATACTGCTAGTCTACTTCAAAGACGAGGAACGAACGCTATTGCTGCATCATACTGCAATGCCATATTGAGAAGTCGGGCAACACTGCATCCATTCCATTTCGTTCTTCCTCTGCTGGAAAAACTATGGAGAGTTAGTAGAATCATGTGACATGCATTAATACAGGTACATTATACAAACACAGCAATCAGAGCTCGTCAATGTGTTGACGAGAAATAAAGGCATTGAAGCAGCTCCGTTTGCCAGTTGCATACTGTGTGACTTTTAGTTGGGCCTGTAAGCAGCTGCATCAGATCGCCGACTGTGTTAGTCTTTTGGGGAGGATCTGATGAATAAACATATTTTCAGGCATTGGTTACAGACGTCCAGCTCGTGAGATCTGAGTCATTTTAATAACCCCCGCTGTGAAAACCCACATGTGTTAGACAAAGCCCTTAAAGCAGCCGCAGCAATGAAACGGGTGGCGAACTTGTCAAGAGCTTCAACGCATTTACTACTTATGCATTTTTATATTGTACTACTCATTTATTGTATTGCTTTTACCCTTTATATTCTCTGTTTTATATTCTGGCATGCAATATGTTTCTTGCCCCCTCTGTTTCCAAATCAGTAGCCATTGTACAGCTACCTAACCCTTCTAAAACCTCGTTTTTTAGCTAAATCCTTATATTCTTCAACAAGCGCTAGATAGTGGAGGACGAGGGCCATGCACCTGCTTACCTCTGGTAGACGCCAGGTGCCCCAGTTCTCCGTCACATGTCATCTGCCAAGAGCTTCATCAAACAGATTTCTGCACTGCATAGGGAAGGTGCACAAGTTGAGCAGTATCCTACACATTTATAGCAAGCAACAGAAGGAGGAGTGACAACTGTCTGTGTCACTGTCTCGGTATTGCGCCCAATATGTCCAATTCTAGTTAATTACAGGCTACTGTTTCATCTCGACAATGTCCGGCCTCATTGGCATGGTCAACTCAAGAGTGCATTGTAGGCACTTGTGAATCTCAGTTGCGTTGCTTACTGATTCCGTACGAAATATTAGTAGGATGGTGTTGCTAACAAGCAATATCTTCTCAAATTATTCGCGGTTATTTCTTGTTATCCCACAGCGGTTTGTAATCAATTTATAAATTTTACCTCGTAAATTAATAAAACATAAATCGTTTACAAATTACCCTGCTTTAGTACAAACAATGGTTGTAGAATTACGTCTGTCGCTAATGGGGTAGAAAAATTAATCTGAAAAAGAGAAGCTTCTTAAGTATAACTTTTTGCAAGCCTTAAATTTAATTTTCACTTTCCTCAAAATCCAAAATTATATAGATCTCAAGCTGAAGGATGTAAAAAATTGTATCCAGTTAAAAGAAAGTATAAAGAAAACGCAATTTATTCTAATGAAAAATCGAGAACTTCTTTAAAAGATTAAATTTAAAGGGGAAAAAACGCAACATAAATACTTTTTTATTGAGATAAATTACTTTTTTCGTTAAAATACAACTAAAAGAATAAAACCCAAATAATTCTTCATTATTGTTCCATGCGATGAGAGTTTATCTTCTGAACTACAAAACAAGCTCCTTTTTCTTCAACACGACATCGAATATACTCTCTTTTCTGTAACCGTATCCACTTGGCTCCGTTTCAGCTGTCCATTCGTAATAAGCCGCAAGGTACCCAGGGAAATTACCGAGGTAATATAATTAAACTTACGATCCCCGTTATTTCTCTTGTCACTAGAATTACGACGGACGCCCGGAAAGGAGATAAGCAATTAAAAACGGAGCAAGCGGTTTGCAGAAACAGGAATGGGAATGCGAAAGGGCGAGGTCAACTATAATATTTCTGCTGAGTTCGCTTATTGCATTGAAGCCATTACTCGTTTGAGGTCCTCCTTGCAAGATCATGAATGTAGAAATTACCATGGCTATAGATTTATAGTTATCAGAAAGAGGATTTCGATGAACATAAATTTAAGGCAATAATTACTTCAGGTCAGAAGAATCGTAAGATTAAACCTCATATTTTAAGAAAATCTTTATAGAAAGCATGAAGATCCTTAATATAATTAAATAGCGTAATTTATATGGTATAAAAAGAAAACATACCTCTGACTGTTGTAATATATTTATTTCTCAAATACATATATAACATCAAACTAACTTATTAATTTTCATTTAGCAGCAGTGAAAAGCTCACCATTTCCAAAATGTTCACTAGAGGTACTAATGTTCAAATTGACAGTATCTGCAAAAGAAAAAACTTGTGCTCTAGACCATGTAAAAATTTCGTTGATAATTATTGTTGAGCATGTTAATTTTTCTGCATTCACGTTGCCTTGCTTAGGGATTAGTAGATACGTTGCACAAATGTTTTCCGTTATTTCATTGTTGTATTATGTCTCTTCTTTTGCATAAGCAAACTGTCTCTTTAAACTGTTTCACTTATTTCGGGATGCTGTAGAGGTAGGGATGGATACTTTGAGATATCTTCAGCAAATCGAGTTCGGGAAATGTATCTGAACAACGGTTTTCGATGGAATGTTGACGTATTTTAACACATAATAAGCTTTTTTTTTTTTTTCTGAAGACGCCATTTTGATTATATTATAAAATATTCGGAAATGGCGAGACTTTTTCAGTAATGTTAAATGAAAATTTGAAAGTTGTACTTTCATTAAACAAATGCATCATCGCCGTCGCCGGCACGTTTTCTTTTCGTACCATTTACTTTCAATTACCCTATACTTTCATTTTTATAACATAGATAAAGTTGTATACAACTATTGGCCGGTTTTTAAGATCCACTGTTTCGAAATTTTTGCTTACGGTCAGAGCTTATGCTTACAGCATGTAACCTACTCTTTCGACTTTATTCGCCTCGACTGGTATACATTTAGAGGTCAGATTTTCTATTATTTTATAAGAGTTTCGTATATTTGTACGGAAAAAAATGTTTCATATATTTATATCTGTGCATCTAGATTTTGAAAGCAGTTACAAATGATACATCGTGTAGTATTTCTCTTAGTATATTCTTCTAGATACCATTTACAAGATATAAAGAACCTGGTTTCGTATTTGGACGATTTCTTGTTTTCAGTAATGCTTCAATCCCTAACTTGTCAAAAATCGGGAAAAGCCTGAACTAGATTTTTAATGAAAAGGGAAGCGTAACATCGATGTTGCAGTTAAGTTCCACACCCGCCGGAGACGGGCTAATCCCCATTACGGTAAAAGCTCTTCATCATGGAAATAGAAAGTCTAGAAATTCGTATTTTTTTGGGATTAACAGCATGCGAAGTTCCAATAGAAAGATATCTAAGATGGCTACAGGAAAAGTCTGGACGATGGATGAGGAGGTATGAGGTATAAACTCAGGTAAACGAAGTCACTGTCTTACCGCCATACTAAATTTAAGCTAAAATACTGAGGTATTAAAACAATGATTCAGATTAAAAGCAATGCATTAATTACGAATGAGATTAGAGAATTTTGTCTTATAGCATCTTATAGTGGCTTTGATATTAGTTCCTGATCAAAAGTGGCCAAATGACAGACCAAACCTGACTTGAAGAATGGCAAAAAATCATGAAGCTGAGTGTCATGCTTGGAGATAAGTAATAAAGAGTTATTGAATTGCAGATGATTGGAAGACAAGAACAATGACCTTTTGCCCTAACCTGCATAAAACCTTCATTCTTGTTAACTTGGAATGAAGAGAATTTTAATGATAATGATATAATCTAAGGGTTGTTTCAAACTCGAAGAACATTCAAAGGTACTGAAATAGTGATGCTTTCCAATAGCAATATGTTTGGTCCAGTAGATGTCTTTGAATGAAATTTTTGAACTGCAGTACAGACGATAGGTATTGGAATTATTCCACTGTGTGAAAAGCCTTTAATATTATAAAGCAGACTGTGGCATCTTCGCATATCCTTCAGTACATCATTCTTATGATTTCAGAAATAACTTTTAAAATTTTTAATGGGAGATATCCTTTATGTGCTTTTCCATATTAAAAATAACCTAACCAAGCCTAAAATAATTATTGTCAAAATGAGAAAATATATAGTAATTTTAATACTTAATAAGTCCAACTATGTAATTTCATAATACTTAATGAATCCCACTATGTAATTTCATAATACTTAATGAATCCAACTATATAATTTCATAATACTATGTAATTTCATAATTTCATAATTCTATGTAATTTCATAATACTTAATGAGTCCAGTTATAATTTTAATGCTTAATGAGTCTATTATGTAACTTCATGAAAAATACTTACTGTTTTAATCAAATGCATCATAGATTAAATGCATTTTACATAAAATAAATCAGATTGAAAAATAAAATCAACATATTACTAAGAACTGTTTTTATTGCTTTTAAATATTTTACTGTGTTGATCCGTAGCAGATAGATTAAATTTGAAAGTAAAATATCTTAGCTTCTCCAAATGGAAACACACTGGAGAGTGGAATATAAAATTATTTTACTCCTGGCAATAACAACGCACTGAATTTAAACAGACGAGATTGTT